AGCAGGAAGCAGGGTACAAACTGATTAATTCTCTATGGCAGATTCACTGCTTTTTTAAGTACCGCAGCTCCATTTCGTTAAATTGTCAGGATATCTTGTGGTTTGGTTAGCCTGCCTGGACTTCTCCTTTCTCATGGAATTTCTTTTCATTTGAATTAATGAATTTCAGATGTAAATTTCCTGTTGTTTGTTTGTGTTGAGGTATTTGATAAATATACACTCCAAATATCTTTAAAGTAATTTAATATTGCTCATCCTTTTTTTTTTTTTTTAATGCAGAGCTGATAAGTTAGAAGACACGTGGAAGTGTTTTTTCTTTTCACGTACTCTGCTGTGTTTTAGCATTTTTTGTATGGAAGATTTCTCTTTCAAAGCAGCTCAGTAAGCACATGTCTATTAAGACGTATGGACTAAAATGTTTTTCTGTCTTTAAGCAGATTATGTAGAAGGAATGCAGTTATAAGAGAGCACCTAGAGTGCATCTTGAGAGCCATTAAACCACTTGAGCAGCTAAGCGAACTGTTCACTGATACCACTGTTTACTTTAGTCTTCAAAAGTGTTCACCCATTTGTTAATCAAAATACAAAATAAATAAAGGGCAGACGATAAATATTCATGTATAGGCCTCGAAGAGGGATTGGAATATTGGTCATTTCAAGACAAAACTAGGGGTTTTGTGTGTGTGTGTGTGTGTGTTTGCACAGACGTCTTGAAAAAGTAGTCTGACCACGATTAATGCTGGGGAACCATTCAGAAGAAACGTTCTTCAAAGAAATATGTCTATGAAAGAAATATATGGATACTTATGAAGCCATAGTGTTTTGCAATTGCTTTTAAATTACATGTCCTGTGTCTGGCTATAGTTTGCAGCGCGAAGACAGGTACAGCTGTGCTCATGGATAAACTGGTACTTACACATCATTCAGTATTTATACCTTCTTGTGATTAGCTTTTGTCCAAAGTCACCAGCTGTCTTCAGAGGAGCTTGGAAGCTTGGAAGAGTCATACTCTTCTAATGTTTTTTCTCCAGGCAGAATGTCAGCTGCATAACTCAGTAGATGATCAAAAACCTGTTCACTTTTCTGATTAAGAGACCCTGAGTACCTAGTAGAAGCCAAATGCAATCTAAAGTGTTGTCCTAAGAGGAGAAGAGGGAGTAAGTGATCAGGGAGATGTGCGCTGGGTCTCTAAGGGCATCTGCTAGAACCGTCTCCTTTTCTACAGGTTTAGTTCTGGTGAGGGTGTATGTAAGTAAGCAAAGGCTTCTGTTCTTCCCTGAAGTGACTAAATGAGTGTACTTACCCTGTCAGCTCTGATTCTTAGAGCAGAGTCTGCTTATCTCCAGTTATTCCTTACAGAAGGGAGGACTCTCTTTGAAACCTGAACTGTTGGATGGCTGACCTGTTTTAGGCATGTTGGTATTCTCCCCATGCTGTTCTTGAACTCTTCTTCAGTAGTTTTAGGTGCCTGCATTCCAGTTAATGCACCTTCAAGATAAGACTAAGATGTTGATAGATTTTAAACCTGGTAACAGGCACTTTCTCTCATAACAGTCACTTACTGTTGCAACTAAATAAGATATAATTTATTAGAATTGTACAGAAGATTCTATTTATGGTCTATTTACCTTTAAGAAAGCAACTAGGATGTTAACATTTTTAAAACTTATATTGGATGATCTGATATGTAAGGTTTTGTTTTGGCTCAACTTTTGAGTCTATGCAGATTTCAGCAAATTTGTCATAGGGCATATTTTAAACGTTCTTAAAATATGAGTCATACCTTTACTTAGGCTTATGATTATTTCATTTTCAAGTATTTAGCAAACTTTATTCAAGAAATATCTTTACCTTTTCATGTAATGATGATACAGTTTTCCGCTGTTGTTGATATTACACTTACACATTTGTTTCCCCATACTGCACTTGTATTTCTTCTCCAACTTAAAAATATCTCATACTTCGTTTTTTTTTGTTTTGTTTTGGTTTTTTATTGTTTGATTTTATGTTAGCTGGGATTTCCCATTGAGAAATCAGTTCAGGATGGCTGTGTTCAGTAGGGGTGTTCCCAACTGAACTAGCCCCAAAGATCTGAGCCAATACAAATGTAACTAGCGCTGTATCTGCTCTATTAATTTTGTGGTCAAATTAAGTAACACTTTGACTTTCTCAATTTTCTTTCTACTTATATGAAAATGTCTAGATAACAAAATCAAGCAAGTGCCCTACTATTCAGAAGCAGGACTAAATAGGAAGAATTTTGCTGCTGAGGACCAGGAACATAAGTCAGCATGAATAGCCTGGTGTTCATTTTTCTCACTCTTTCTAAATACATGCTGAAAACCAGAAACGTCAATGGCTGCAGTTAGATTTTTAAGCCATGGGCTTCGTCAAAATCTTTACAAGTTGTGATCAAGTTCAGCAAGGCAATATTAACAATTCCCATGTTGAACTTCAGTGACAATTATTGCTCTGATGGAAAGGTGAAGATGCGATTAATGAATTTTTAGATTAGCCTTTAATGGAGTAATCTCCGTGTCAGATGTATTTAAACTTCTTTCTGACCTTTGAATTATCTAAAAGCTACGTAGCTGCAGTTAACAGGGTGCTGAGGTGGTAAATGGCACTAAAGGGCTGGGCTTAGCCCAGGAGCAGTGCAGCCCCTGGGCTGGTCAGTTCTGAGCTTTTTGCAAATGGTGACAAGTCCTAGGAACGGTTCGAAATCCTGCATTGTTACATAGACTTTTTTTCTTAAAACATTCACTTGTATAATGATGAAACAGTGCCTTATTTAAAATCTTAGCAAGTACTTTTACATACGTTATTTACTTTGCAGAGTTGATAGAAATCAAAGATGGGGAAAATGGGGCAGATTGAAACTCACCTGTGCTTAACTGAGTAACTGCACTTTAAAAATGAAATGATTGCTGAGATTTTGATGTGGTGGTGGGTTTATTGGTGGATTTACCTCTTAAAAGGTAATTGGCTTCTACTTTTTTATTCCTTTTGCTTTCAGATATATTTGTTAAGTATATTTTGTGTAGGTTCTCCCATTACCCCCAGTCTTCTTGTATTTGCTTAGTGTATGTTTTGAGGAAATTAATGGGTTTTGCTCTGGCTCAGCAGGATAAATGTTCTACCTTGTAGTAGTTTAGATTTCATTTTGTTATTAAAAGTCAAGCTGTAGTGCTTATTTTTGCCTGCAGCAAATTTCAAACTGTTTATACGTGTAAAGATGTAGGATTTTGAAGAGTATAGTGTGATAAAATTTAGAATTATACAATATTACTATACAGTGCTTGTAGCTTCTTATTCCAGAGGCGTGATTGTATAGTCCAGGCTTACCATTGCAATTCCATTTTTTTCTTCTTTTGGGGGGAGTTAAGTTTTCCTCTGTAAATTGAAAACGCCTGAAAAGATTTTGGTATAATTAATGTTAGACACTGACAATACGTTATGTTTTTTAATTATCAAAGTTTTTTTTCTGCAGTACTAATAAACATTTTTTTTTCTTTCTTTAGGAGAATATATAAAAAACTGGCGGCCAAGATATTTCCTGTTAAAGACAGATGGCTCTTTCATAGGCTATAAGGAGAAGCCCCAGGATGTGGATCTGCCATATCCACTCAACAACTTTTCAGTGGCAAGTACGTATTCCCAGTATTTATTATTCTCTCAGCATATTGACAAAATATCTGCTACATATTGCTTCATGTGTAGTTCAGAATTTATTGGTAGCACTGGAAGTTTGATGCCATGTGTCAGACTAGTGCACCACTAATGTTATGTCCAGCTCTACAAGATATCTTTACAAGAGCATTGAAGATTTTACCAGGGGTTGATTTTTGAATATTTTTGAAAGTCTGAGTTCTCATTTTTGTGTCTGTGTGTCTGAAGTGTCTGTAAGTAACAATAACATTTGACAAATGATTGTTGTAAGAAGAAAATTCCTGGAAAGCTTGCTTTTATTCAGATCATTGACCTCTTTCTCTTTTTCAGTAGTATCTCTCAATTCACTTGAAAACTCAAATTAATTAGAAAACTATCTAGACTGTCAAATGACACAAAATCATGCTAAATTATTTTTCTCTTGGATAATCAGGTAATCAGCTCTCCAGCCTGGTTAATCAGTAATTTCAAGCAATCAGACAATTTGCATATATTAGCAAAGCTACGAAGTGTGTATCTGTTGGATAAAGTGAAGACATTTTGATTTCTTTTTTTCCAAGTATGTTTCTAAAAGACAAATATGTAGTTTTTTTGATCTGGCAAAGTGAGATTGGTAGAAGAGTGTTTCTGAACATAAATGGAAGCATTTGAAGAGCAAAACTAAGGGTGCAAAAAATCTCCCTGAGTATAAGTTGTGGATGTCATAGCTAGAAACTTTCAAAGGAACGCTAGAAAATTTACCCAATTTCTTTCAAAATTGTATTAGAGTACTGCAATGCAATAAATGGTAGTGTTTAGTTTTATAGAGGACTATTGGAGCCACAAGAGCATGCATACTTAGGGAAAGGATTCCCTTCATCTGCATTGCTGAAGATGGAACAAATGCTACTGAGACTGAATTTACCTATTTTCTTGATGAAATTGTTCTTGAGATTGACTCAGTCTTTGTGTATATGAAGTAGTTTGGGTATTTTATTTGGTAAGAATATAATCTCGTGCTTCAAGGCCGTGTCTTGTCCCACAACTAGAGGAGGAGAAGTTCTTCTAATAATATTGGAGGCTCATTTCACCTTGTTGCTATTCAGCATAAAATGCAGTGATGTCTTTAAGTTGTTCATATGAGTAGAAATTGACTAGATCATAGACCGTTATTCCTTAGTTACTGCTCTGAATATCCTAACCTACTCATTTATAGCAGTTAGTAGTTTCCTAGATACTTTTTCCCCAATGCACAGCAGAAAGAACATTTGTAGAACTACAGTAGGGTTTTTTGTCCTGCTTTACCATGTTCTTCATTGCATATCTAGTCTTCCTTTGCTGCAGCAACTAGAAGGATGATCCAAATGGTTGTTCTGCTAAGCGAAGAAATGCATAATTAGCAATTAATTCCAGTATGTTGACACTGGTGGTTTTGTTGTTGTTGTTGTTGTTGTTGTTGTTGTTTTGATACCCAGAGGTCATCTTCTGTAATTCTGATATTAGAATGCTGCCCCTGAACTTTGCCTTGATGGAAATTGGAAGATTTCATATTGTTTTCCAAAATGACACTATCACCACCACTACCCACCACCCCCCCTCAAAAAAAAAAAAAAAAAAAAAATTCCTTTCTGCAACTAGCAAGCCCTATAGGTCTGATTTTTAGGCAATGTAAGTTAAAGAAACAGGCATGCAATATTAGAAGAAATATAGTTTTGATAAACAAGATGAGTTTTTCTGTTTTCTGGCAGAAAAAGGAATAATTTAATCAGAAATGATTGCTGATCAGTGCAAAAATAGAGAGATTTTTCACTCATGAAAAGAATCCCATAAAATTAAGTGAAGTACCTATGTAGAATTCACAGGATGAAAAGCAAAACAGTATGGTATTACACTCTAAATTGCAAGGGACTGTAAATTTTTTGTCAGCTATTTTATTTGTCTGAAGATGAGATCATCAGTAGGACAAACAAAAAACCAAACAAAATTGCTATATGAATGAATCGGCTCTCATGGGCAGTACCTGGTAAATGTCAAGAACCGGTCTCGTGGCCTCTGATCCAAGAGTTCCTGAGCTGCTGCAGTAGGTTTGCGGCCACAAGCACTGCAACATATTTTTCCTGTAATAGTGAAGTACGTTTTTCATAAATTACTAGCCAGGCAGATGGAGTGTGAGATCACTGTTAATACCATCTTGATTAGGTTGGCAGGGACTTAAAGATATGTCTTTACAGTCCTATCTTCATGTAATCTTTGTAGCTATCTGTAAAGTGAGAGTGTGGTCTCAGTCTACTTTTTGCTCTCCAAATGATAGACATCTTTGGCTCTTGCTTACAGCTTGTTATTTAAGCAGAAAAGGCCAAGGCTGTGGTATTATTTTCGTAGTACTGTTGGAGTTGAACACTGGAAAGTTTGCACAGCTCTGCTTTGTATGATACTTGTTCTGTAGTTTAAAACTTTTATATCCAGCTCTGCCAAACTAGTTACTTCCATCATACGGGTATTTTCCCATCGGTGTCTGCTGCCTTCCACCCTGCAACACCAGCTTTACTTTTGCTAAAGGCTCTTTCCCAGGCATAGTATCATTTTCCCTAGAGTGGCTCCCTGATTTCTTCCAAGATAACTTTAAAGTCCCGCACCTGAACATTACTCTCTCCCTGGTCTTGTGTTGTCCGTGTATTCTGTTCGGAATGACAGGAAGGCCGGAGAGAATGAAGTTATTTTACATACTGCTGACAGTGCTTCCAGTGCTAAATATGTCTTTGTTAATAAAGCCTTTCTCATCGGGTGGTGTTTTGGCATAGGATGGGGTGTTCAGAAGCCATCTCTTTTCCTTGGGGTGATCTGGGAGGAAATGTGGGGGGAAGGCATTGGGAAGCAGGTGTGTAAACAGGTAGATGCTTTGTGTAGAGAGGGAGAGCCTGAGGCAGTGCATGCACGCTTCAGCCCATTGCTGGCCGTCCAAAACGCGGGGGAACCGCATGGGCCTGAAATGGAGGTGAGTGATCTCTCTTCCTTGGAGCACAACTACGTTCCTGAAGGCGAAGTAGAGTTGACTGAAGGGTATGGCAGAGCAGGGCTGGATGGGGCTGAGCCCCAGGGAAGGATACAGGACTGACCCCTTGGTGCCCTGGACAGGGGCTTTGCTTTGCCTCCCCATGGCCGCTGCTCTCCCGCCTTCGGGCGCATGCGAAAGGCGGCAATGAGCACCCCGCGCTGCATCTGCGGAGCTGCTGCAAGGTTGCAGGGGTGAACAAATCAGCCAGATCTGTTGACACTGGATAGTGTGTAGGAATCACTCTGGTTTCTCTCCTGTGGAGCCAGAATATTTGACACCAAACAGAGCTTTCTTTTTTTAACATGGGTGTTGAGAGCGCTGTGTATTTGAAGTATGCTTTTAGTTCCTTAATGCTCATGCCCTGACGCTTAGACTCACAAAAAGTTGTGCCGTGGTATCTAGCCATACGCTTAAAGATAAAGGAAGGCGATGTGATTATATTGGTAGGAGATTCATTGTGGAAACTTAAAACTGGTTGATACTGGTTTTCAGAGGTAAATTCAGAAGTGTGAGCTTACTTGAATTGGCTGGTTCAAAATCAGTTCAGCTCTTTTCAGGTAGAGACAAGTAATCAAGCTATTGTAGCTTAAAGAGATACTCTTGATTGACTGAGTCACGGTAACTGAGTGGGTGTGCATTCCTAGCCCACTTCAACTGCAAAATAAAATATGTTAATGTAAATTGCTTTTGCTTAGGCATTTATGCAGTCAGAACCAGTTTAAAAATAATTTGGATTTGATTCGTACAACTTCTCTGTATAGGCAGAGACCTGAAAAAATAAGTCCTGGCTTTTAAAACTCCATTATGCTGCTTTGGAACAAAACTAGTACTCTGGGTGACAGGATGTATACCCTTAGTGGCCCCCCAAAACCCAACATGGCCTCACAACACTGTTTTTAACTGGGCCAGTGTTGCGTAAGTAGAATCAACACTGCTTTGTATAAACCACTTTGGTCTTTGATTGTCCTCATTATTAGGGAAAGCAGAGTGGGGAAGAATTCTACTTCAGTTCTACTTAAGGAGCACTTGTGGCTTTACAGATGAAAAAAATACTTCTCACATATGCAATGAGCATGTAGGTAATCATATAGCACATTTGGGATGAGGTATCTCTAAGAATTGGCCCTTTGCCTTCATTTTGATCTTTGCACGGGGAATAATTGGGAAGAGCTGTATCCCTTCACAGTAACCTTTGAGCTTTGGCCAAAAATGATGTCACCTGGAATTTCTTTCCTATGTTGAAAGATAGTGCTTTCTAAGCACTCTGTGTTACAGCTACCCTTTTTCTCGTCTTTGAAAAGAAAAAGCAAATTTTAGTTATTGTGAGAAGGTAATCTTTTATAACCTTTCCTTTATTTTATTTTTTTTTTCTGCAGAAATGATTATCGATGAACCTTGGCTATTATAAATGGAGAAGCTCTGCTACTTTTTCCTACTCTTAATCTTTCAGTGGGCCAGAGACAAGGTGTTATTATTTTGGGGATTTAAAAATCTTCAAAACGTGAAAATTGAAAGGTTTCAGGGGAATGATGTTAGGGCTATAAAGAATTCTGAAGACATTCTCTAAAGAAATGGGTAGGAAAGTATATATGTGTATTTTAAGTGAGATTAAATTATTCATCAAAATACTTTGGCATTAGAGAAGACCTTGTGTGCAACTCCACAATTAACTTTTCAATGAGATTTAAGTTTAAAGTCCCGTTTTTTTTTTTTGGGTCACCAGATGACCTGAACCCAGAGATAAGCATGCAACTGTAGCTACTTATAATTACAGTATAGATTTCATTCCATAATAATAATGGTGCAATTGAATAAATAATGTTCATTCAATACTGAAAATACTTGTGTGGAGAAAAGGCAATGTATCTGTAATGTACAGCATATGCAAATGCATCTATGGAAATTCGAACTCAAATCTAATGTGTATAAGCAATATTACTGTCT